TACCGATTTTTACGTTAGGCAGGAAAAAATACGTTACCCTTAAGGATATTTGCAAGGCAAACGGCTACACAGAGTAATACTACAAACGCGGTCAGACCTATGCTTTTTATGTAGAATCAGCATCGTTGAGCCTTTCAAGCGAACACTTTTGGATGTAAGGAAATGGTGGAGTTCTGATCAGTGACAACACTATGACCTTTGTCAACAGTGATCCTTCAAATAACTTACCAGGTGTCATCCTCAATAGGAACGTACAGGTAAAAGATCTCGCAAATCAAGGAATTGCGAGGAAAACTGTCAGAGATCCCTGGCTCAGGTGCAAACGTTCAGATAACCTCGGCTGGACGAACTCTTGAAAACAACGCTTGTCTGCTAATGCTGGATAAAGGAACGGTCGATATTCCGCTTTTTGGCGCTCGTGTCAACTATCAACTGCAGTTGGACTTGTACATTTGCTATTATACGAACGGATTATACCAACGGCGAGCTGAATAGTAATCGAAAGAGGCGCGCAATTTTTTCCATTGAAGCAAAGGTTGGATATATGGCTTCTGAAAATCAAAAGTATACCTTTACCGAATGACAATCATAATACATATATCGATACAGGGAATAAAGAAAAAAAAAAGTTCTCTAGAAAGTCTTCGTTTAAGTAGCAAGAAATACTGAAATCGTTGCAGTAAGGAGTAGATTTAACAGTGTAACACCTAGAACCATGTCCTCTACAATCGTTTAACACTCTATAGTGATATCTCTCTACAATGATTACGTTGAAAATCCCCTAATCATGTTATAATATTTCAGAAATAAAGAAAATACTCTCTCTCTCTTTAATCGATGTGTTTCAGAGTAAAACCCGTTCTTTATTACGATTTTTTAATCTAGTTAGTAAATATGTATATATATATACTGACCGTTAGTCTACTACTGGGGTATATTTTAACCAGGGTTAATGAAGTTCACGAAGAGGTTATTCAGTGTTCTTAGCGTGGACCCGAGTGTGCCGAGACTTACCGCTCAAAAACAGTATTTTCGGGTGCAGACAAATCTACAAAAAAAAAAAAGGCCGCTAGAGGCGTTTCCTAAACTAACCGGGCCGATGAAAAGATTACCTCGAACCCCATGTTAGCGTTTTCATATTCCAGGAGACAGTTTATCCTGACCATAATAATCCTGTTTATTTACTTATATAAAGCGCGAAATCAGATAGTTTGCACAACTTCTGGAAGAGATGGTGTCTAAGAGATGCGCCGAAAGACAGATTTGTCCCTTCTTTGATAGTATGGCAGCAGACGTTAGGGCCCATAACTCCAGGCCAAAGTTGGACGCCCTGTATTTTCGCTCCAATGTCATATTATATGCGCGTACGGCACACGTGGATTTCGTAAAGTTCTTAATAGAACATTCAAGTCCAGTACGGATTCAGTGATAATATTACTTTGAACGTAAAGCCGTAAACAATTTTGGGTTATACTACCGTAAGAGAAAGAAATAATGCCATTAGGTTTAATATAAGGGAATTAGGCTGTAGGTCAAGAGCTTACAGGCAAAAATCTGGTGCATCGCATAATTCTAGCATGAGAGCCTTTAAAAAACTGCCGTATCTAATAGTGAAACCATAATGAAAAGTCTTGAAACAGCCGTGACACGCCACAGTCCATTTGTCGTTGGGCTTTCTACCCGGCTTGCCCTGGGAGTCTGTCGGCACAACTGTCGTAGAACGATCAATTAGAAACACAGTATTATTATTATTACAGTAAAAATAATTGCTAATTTCATTAAGCTCGAAGTATTATGAGGACTATAGAAATAACAAAAGATTATGCTAGGTGATTGTTTGCGTTGAATTAGCTATAACTATCTAATACATATCTATATATACATGTGTATATACATTTGCATTTTGAGAAGATGCGTTTGGTTTATTGGTTTGGGGTAATTAGAACCGCTATGTCTATTTGGGTTTATTAACTTTTTCCAAAACTGTAAAATGGGCATAACACCGGGGCGAACACTGATTGTGTATTACGTCCCAACTGATCAATAGGGCATTGAACGAATTCATCCACTGCGAACAAAATGGATCATCGGTACATATTGATTGTTCGCACAAATCACATTATATTACTATCACTAAATAGTTTTCATATTTTATAAGGTAGGAAAGGTGAAGTACCTTGATAGACTCTCATTATAACCTCGAAGTTCGAAACTTGAAGCCGTGGAGAGCCTTCTATGCGAACTTTCCTGTGTTAGAGTGATACCGAAAACTCCGAATTTAGCGTAAGCTACCTGGCATCCAAACATTCAGGGTATTCGTTGACATCCACGCGAAACTTATGTTACGGCCGAACTTCATTAAGGATTGGGTATACACACACACGAAGATGCTAAAAAATATGATGAGATACAACGAATACTTCGATAGTACGAGAACAATTGAAATGCGTCGTCGTTTCTACAGGTTTTTCCCAGAAGGAAACATTGATAACTTAGTCGATAGCAGTAATCGCCAGTATTCTTTTGAGCCCTAATGTTTATAGTTTGTGTCTACACGATTTTATATATGTTGCACTCTTTTCTATATTGAGTCCTAAATTTGAAAAACAGATATTTTCTCCCAATAATATACAAAGTAATAAAACCTACAAACAGTGAGATAGGTTAGAAAGGTGTAATTCCGTAATTATTCTGGAAGCTGGAATCAAACTAGTCTCATCCACTTTACTTTGACCTGACATGAAAATGAAAATTATGGTTTTTAGTGAGCAACGAAGTTCGCTTCCATTGTTTCTTATCTTTATTATAAATATATAGTATTTTGCGCAAGCTTTCATTAAATATATCGTTATTCCCTATGGAAAATTATATTTAGTCAGTCTCAGTCGGATGTGGCAATTCAGCTCTATGCAACGAACTTTGCAAGGCGTTCTCGAAGACATTTTTATCGCAGGCAGATTATTTTTTTGGGCACCTTCAGTGTGAAACACAGTTGTCACACAAATCACTTGGAAAAAATAAACAATCGATCTAGGGTGTTGGATCTTCCTAAAAATACTGCTGTGTGTATATATATATGATGTAACGTAATTACGTGTCTCTATAGAAACGAAGAAGGCCTGACAAAGTGAATACGCAACGCTCAATATGAAAACCAAGTCAATAGCCTTTCACGTGTCCGATTCGGCCTGCGAAATGTTATTGCTAATTTAGAAATCTCACCAGCTACTCTAAATACAACTGTTAATTTTTTTCCTTAACACATGAGCCTACTGGCGAACCTAAATCGAGCTCTCACGCCTCATCAGTACCACATACTAGCTTTAATTAGTCCTTCGTGCTAGTGTATAATTAGACATCCTCATTTATTTTATGCATGGTTAGCATTAACGCGTCTTGTACCTTCAGATGGAGTGTCTGAAGCTTTCAGACTACCAAGTACAAACTTGTGAAAAGTTCCATGTCCATACGCTAAGTGTTTAAGTACCATTAAAATCAGGCAAAGTACACTCAATACAAAATATGCAATAAGGCGAAATGCTTGTTGAAAACTTTCAACACAACAATTTTTGGAACTTTCACTCTAGTGATGATGAATGATATTATTATTAATAGATTCCGTTGTACGAAGGTAATGCATCAAGTTCGGTTTCTTTCAAACCAAACGTGATACCGAAAACTATTGAACTCCATCTTCCAATACTAGTAACGATTATTTTTAACCATATCAGCTTCTCAATATCCGCCCTTTTACACGAATCTGTTTCCACTATATAAATTTTCACATAACCCTAGAACGGGTATTCCAGAAACTCTCAACATCTCGTAAAAGGGCGACTATATATAGTCCCATAAAAGCTATGAGCTTTTCTCTCCCTGTTTTTCTTCATTTTACGCTCCGTGTTGTTTGTGTTCGTTCCTAACCGAATGACTTCAGAACTAATAAAGTGCGCCGACGACAGGTTCACCGAGTGCCTTCGTCAAACCAGCTTCCAAATTCAACCTGTCGTTTCAATCCAGTCCAATCCAACGATCCCGGCCGTCTCTCACTTTCACCATGTAACTGTTACTACTAGCATGTATAGCGAATTAGGCGGCAGGGTGCCTCTAACTACCTCAGTTATACGCTCGTATTCTCCTCCCCATCGTCTTGGTCGTGACCCATGTTGACGACGACGACGACGACGCCGGCAGTAGGGATCTATTGGCATCGAGTGGTAGGGTAAGCAAGGGCTCGACCTGCAAAGGCACTAGTGGGAGTAGCCACAGTCCTGTCGTGTCATTCCGTTCGGCGTTTTTGAGCTTTTCGCGACATCTCTCGTCGCCACCCCCGACGATTGGTGTGGCGTCGCCACTAGGGACGCCCCAGCAGCACATTCGCACCTGCTACATATTGCTAAGAAAGAAGTTCCCCCCGAACAGCATCACAGCGCCACAAAAACTCACGGACGAACAGATACAGATAGACGCGCTTAAGGCGTTTGTTTGCGTCGGGCCACTCCGCCACAGCAGTATCTGGCTTGGCCACGGCCAACTCTTTCCCGCCGCCAACGTCTCGCTGTTGCTGCTGCCGCCAGCTTTGCCGTGACCGCCATGTCTCCTCCTGCTATAGTTCTAATCAGTATTATTATTGCTGTAAACGTTGGTGTCTAGTGAGTAACGCCACGGCTCATACTGCGGCCGTGGCGGACCCTGCCGCCGCCGGCTTAGCTGCCGAAAGGGACAGCAGTAGTTTCGTCAAGGCGGTCGTTGTTTAATGTTCGTTCAACGTTGGACGTTCGTCGTTAGATTGGAGCAGCAGATAGCGCTAGCGGCTCTCGCTGTCATTTACGGCTTTTTCTGCTGTTATAGTGGTTCACAGTTAAGCAAAAGCAGACGAACAAGCGGCGTCACTGCCAACGTCGGAATGAGAAGCGTTGCAGGAGCCTGTGGCCTCCCCCTTTCTATTTAGTTCACCATTGAACTGTGGCGTTTTGCAGTAGCGTTAGGGCCGGTTCTGTTAGCGCAGCTCGACTCATTCGCTTTTCGTTACCGCAGGCAGCAGCTGTAGCTATAATAGAGCACAAGCGACTCTACTACTGAGTTGTCCAAGTTGCCCGAGTCCGTTGTCAGACGCGGAAAACTTAATCGCTAGCGCAGCGCCGATAACAGCCTGAACAGGCACCGCTGTAGGCGTATCGCCTGAGCTTCTATCACTGATCAAATCAACGGGCTGGGAATAAGGAGTCAATACCGACGACGGCTGATCATAGGCCTGCTTCTCATAGCTATTCATTAAGACATGCAGGCGAATTTATAGGCTGGCCGGGTTGGGCTCTATGCGGTAATAGTGAGTTTCTAGGTTTCAGGTCATGTTGGGTCAGTTTGACACAAGCCGATAACAGGTCGTAGCAGCAGCGGCGGCATGTAGTCGGCGGCTAGTCAATTTTGACGCTGTTGTTGCTGCTGTTCATACGGCCGGCTGGCGCCGTTGCGTATGGCGGATGACTTCTGTTTTCATTACGCTAAAACTATCGAATCATCGCCGCCAATGGTTGATGACGCACTATTTGGTCTCCGATAGGCGCGGTTGGAAGGCAGTGTCAGTAGACTCGTGTAGTGGGCTCTATAAGTGTGGTTCCATTCATTGGTGACTTGATTCAGCGTGTGAATCTACAGTGGTGTTGCTATCATGCTCTGTCTATAATGTTCCAAAGTGGCTAGTAAATAGGGAATAGGATCAGTTTACTGTTTGCTTTACGTGTGTACGCTGAACGCTCATCAAGCGCAGTTATTACGTGGATGACAACGACGGCGACAGCAGCGCATCTTCATGATCGGCTGGTAGGAAGACTGCAGAAGCGAAAAGATTGCCAGATCTTGCGAATGGATTCCAGTTGTGCAGCCGTGACGACCGAAATTAGCTTTTTTCGGGTGGAGCTTCGGCGATGACACAGTGTAATAGAAATGACCTTAATTAAATTTATAGTGGTCGTAGTGCGAATGGTAGTACGTATGTAAATCCTATTCGACAATACTTTTGAAAGCCAAAGGAAGACGCGATTCGAATTATCGGTGCTTCACACCGGTAATGTTCTATTATGTACAAAGTAGGCAAGGGTAATTGTCCGCATAGTTCATCAATGAGAGGTGATCGTATGTGTCTGCGAGCCATTGGGTGTGTTCATTTGCCGGTGGGTGCGATGATCTGAAAAATCTTGCATACATATAAACAGGTGTGAGTGTCCACAAGTTTGTTCCCTATGCTACTTGCTGCCGCTTAACCAATCTCTACTTTTCGTAAGAAAGCTTTTCGCCTATGCATTGACGTGATATGATCAGTAGCCCGTAATCCCTCTAACTGTTTACGCTATGACTAGGTATATGGTAAGTGCAATAGCAATACTAATACAAGAGTTTCTAGGCGGCAGGGAATTTAATCAGATCAAAGCAACTGCCGATTCAGGTTCTATACGTCGCCGTATCGAAATGTACCACGTTTTATAAAATTTGTGATCTTTTGACAGTCAACATAGAGTAGTATTCCATAGGTGGGTCTCTATCTGTTTGTTTCGGCATCGTCACTTAGCCATGGCAGCAAACGGTAACAGCTAGGCGACAACTAGCAACGACATCTGGAGATCTGGCGTGTCAATCATCAGACATAACGAAACTTCCGAGCCAACAAGCCCAGTTCCGCATCTCAGCAGGATCGGGAAAACTTCGGGTGCTTCACGGAGTGCTGTTGTGTGAGTGACTGGTGAGCGCCCCTAGAGCTCGGTATAACGAACAGTATATTGATCACGAAAAACTTGCTTCAGAAGAAACATGTCTTTATTAGCTGGTGCAAGTGAACCAGGCAGTGGCAACACTGATAGGTTCATTTGGGCGATTAAAAATGGCGACCTGGATACAGTTCGAGATTCTATCGAGCACAAGGTACGTATCGTAAATTTGATTTGAACGTAAAGTATATGTGAAATCGACGAAGGCGTTTCTGTACTCTTCTTTGACAAATGATGGGCAAATAATAATAGCTGCTATTTTTCACTGAACGATCAGCTGACCATGATGTCAAGATAGGTCGCGAACTTGCTTTACATCGACAAAAAGGTTTCATTTAGCACCGGTAACCTTAGGGGGCTATTGATGTTAGTTTGGTCCTAAGCCTCATTCGGATAACTTAACACAGCAAAGAAAAAAAATACTGATATCGTATATTGCCATTAAAGCGGTCCAATATCCATCTGTGCCATCCTGACAGAAGTTTCGGCAAGCTCAAATAAAAAAAATCCAGTATCAGCAACCCTGTACTTATTATTATGCCATTATACAAGTAGAATAAGAAAAGCTATAAGGAATTTTCCTGACCTTACGTTCTACACAAGCCGTTGCTTGTGTAGAACGTAAGAGGGAAGGTCTGGCTAAGATTACCGCCATTTTACTTGCTAATAAACGCCGTTAAAGGAACGACATTAAAGAACCTTAAGAACAGAAACGCTTCGAAGGAGCGCCTTCCAGTCTGTCCATTCTGTTGATGGGTAAATCGCGGGTTCACGTTGACCACCGATTACCCACTCGTCACGAGGCCACTTCTAGCTAACTAACGTACATTACGATGTCGCGAGATCGGCTGCGTTGATCGACATCTATGGCAAATCGCATCCACCAGCACCATTCGATGGGCTCTCGCGGGATTACAAACAGACACCTCATTGATAGCCGAGATGGTCTATGGCTGAGTTTCTGACCTATGCCGACCCAATGCGACGTACGAAGTCCTATACCATGCATAAGGCAGTATAGGGCTGTGAGCGGTGACCGGCAATGTCGCACCACGCGTTGCTGCTACTAATACTACTGCCGTTTGCGCTAGTTTTGGTAAAAGGAATTGTAAACCCAGGCGCAACTGACCAAAAAGTTTGATGCCCCGACTGCCGCTGCTGCTGCCGCCACTGCCGTTATAGTTGCGGTGACTGTGATCACCGAAAAGTTATTCGTGATAGTTCAGCGTCTAGTTTTTTTGACTGTACAGAGAGGTAACGGACCGAGCGGGAGGCGAACCGCAGCCGTCAGCTGGCAGAATTTTAGCTGGCGTCACAGCAACAATTGGAATTAACAACAAGAGTAGCAGTGATAGCAATGGAAACGAAGAGAATTTTGTTGTAAAAACCCTTCTAAGGGAGGAATCAACGTAGCGGTCTGTCAGCAGACCGGCTGGTAAAAACACGCTTACGTGTGTAAAGGAGTGACAAAATTAAAAAAAATAAGTGACTGCATATGGTTGCTGTACCAACTGTTTTATTTATTAGAAGTTCCACCATTGGAAATTCTGAATAGATCTTCAGCGAATCTTAGGATATTCACGTCAATTTTCACTCGCGCACAGCATACACTGACTGTTACTGATTGTGGAAGATACACTTCATACATGCGTTTGTTTATTGCGATCTTATTGAGGTCGTGTATTAACAAAATGAAGGGGGAATCGTTTCCTATGAATCGTTAGTTTACGCCGATAGTGAATGCGACCGGTCGGCTTGTACCATATGTGTGTTAACAATGAATTTCGCAATTCGAGGAAGTAAACCATTAAGGGATATACTATAATTCTAGAATGCAACAAGAATCTTTCCTACCAGGAATTTACATTGTATGTAATTTCCTTTTGTTATTACGTTGTATTAATTGTTTTTAATCGTCAACTGAGAATCGATACGCAGCGCCACGAAGAAACGCTAGCATCAAAAATGTTACACTAGATGGAAAGCTTTGCATCTGTGTGTGTTGGGCGCCGGAAATCGAAGACTTTCTGCAAAAATTTGTTGTCATCTTGCTACTTCGGTGAAAGCAGCAGATACAGATACAAGTACGCTGGATTAAACTATATATATGTATATATATATATATATATATATATATATATATATATGCTAAAAAAAAGTTAGTTTTCTAGAAGAACTTCGAGATATAAAGGAACTCATAAATTAGGACAGCTTAACAAGCAGGACGTTTTAGATCGGTGTTATGAACACTATCAGTCTGTGTCTGACGGGTGCCACTGGCTAGGATAATATAACCCCACCTTGGATTAAACACAACGACTGACCTTGGTTAGAAATATAATGACTATAGAGTTAATCGATAATCGTCACAATCATTGCATACAACGACCCTCCGTAGTTTGGAAGTTTAGCGCCTATTTTCTTATTGTTGTATCAGGGGAAAACTTCAAAATATTGTCGATCGAACATGATCCAGGTGCCTCCTTTGTCACTGACCAAAGCAGATACATTATGAAAGGCAATAGTCAGAGACTGATTGATCGTCTGACCCTTTGTCAGCGGCTAAGTAGATCTACTAATGTTTCGCTGGAACGGACTATTACCATATGCATAAGCTCGGCGTCCCGATCCCGTCGTGCGACCGGGAGCGATGTATTACCATATTGATTATTACAGCCACTGATTAATCAATTACGCCTCAACAGGCGTCATTTATGAATTATGGTTTCCGTTAGGGAGAAATATCTAACGAGCGTTCACTGAAGCGTCCACCGCACAAATGAAGATATTCAATTTTCATTCCGGTATCATCATCAGAGATATTGTAAAAATCACTTTCTTTTCGTCTAGATATATATTCTGTGCGAAGTTTTTTTCATTGCAGAACAAGAGTAATTTGAAACATAACTTTTACGTACTATGCCTAGTGAGGCGACCTAAAACGTGGCGATATTTAGGCTGGTACCGAAATCATCCTATAATGCTCCACTGTCTTCTATTACCATTGCAGGTAAATGGAACATTTTATAATTACTTTACTTTGCTAGAATGTAGAAAAATTTCAGTACAACTACATCTAAGAGAGATTAGAAAATGATATGGAAATCAAAACGGAAAGCGCTAAGGAGCGTCTGGGCAGTAACTAAATCGTTCTGCATCTGTGCGGTAGGTGACCACAGTGAATGCTATGAGAATTATTAGTTCGATATTAGGTCATCTACTTCTTGATATCCCCTACGGTTCCTCTCAAATAGGTGACAAAAAAAGGCTACCGAATCAAACACACATTACTTGTACCTGTTCATCTCAAATGTTAGTGGCCTATTGCTTCGTCCCGTCTTAGCACTGTCGTACTGAACAATAAAAAGTAGCAAAAAAACATTCAGGACAAGCTAGTAGGCGATGACAAAGCTGTTGCATGCCTTCGCAACGATGATGTCAGAGGCTTGCTTTACCTTATCTTGCCCTTAAGATTATCTTCGCGGCCGCTAAGAGCCTTTCTTTTTTTACCTAGCAATGTTATTGTCCGTGAAGGAGCACGTTTCGGTAGGGGTCGGGGAGGGGGCCATACCTTGGTTAAAATTAGGTCGAGTTTGGGTGCCGAGATCGTTGCGAAAGCGAAAAATTGCGCGTGTTGAAGGAACCACAGCAGCTGCTGTAGCGTGGCCTCGCTAATGGCGGTAATGGTGGTGGCAGCGGCCGTCATGATAACGGGCATCTATGAGTTCATAAATTAGCGTTAATTACTTAGGCGGTGCAGCTAAACAGGCTGATGCTGCGGCATCCATGGGTGGCGCTCGCTACGTCGCTCACCACTCGCTCCGCCATGCTTTTCGAGGTGCTGCTACTAACACCGCCGTCGGATGGCGAGCAAGGATAGACTCCTCCAGTGGATCACGGGGTATTGCGCTACGCTGGGCGTTGGCAGAAGTCTACCTTTTTTCGTGCTACCTGCAAGTAGTGCATGCAGCACTGCTTGTGAGAGAGTTGTGGACCTAATGGTCCCTCTAGTCGATGCTTTTAAAGTGTTAGGACAAAGAGAGCTATTTTAGAAATGGGTCATGCAAACCAATGTCGAACATTTCGTACCCATGCAACTCCTCTTGAGCCCACGCTTTTTACCTAGAATAACCGAAACCGAAACCATCAGAAGAAAGCGGCGGTAGTACCAGGAACGGTCGTCTCAATCAATGGAGCGGGCATTACCTTCGGTGTCCCCTCTGGTTAGTTCCCGCTCGCGTATCCCCTTTATTTTTATACCCAACAAATGACGCTAGCGATGTGCTAACGTCAACGCCACTGGAATGACTGTTTTGCTCGCAGCTTCCATTGCTTCTGTTTCTCCTGACGCTTCAGGCGCCGTCCTGCTCTACTAGTATTCGTGGTGATGACAGAGGGCTCGCGTAAGTGCAACTAGTTAAACTAGTTGATTGGGCAGAGAAAGAGGAGGGCTTCTGCTAAAGGCGGAAACAGGTTTCGTGACCCACACAGCAGGATGGATAACTTACGAAAAACTTAATTGACGGGCGAAGCGATCGTGTCACCTCGTCTAAAACTATTATAGTACATAGTATTAGTTGTAAATGGCAAGAGCCATTCATGCTTGTAGTCATCTCTTTTAACCAGCTTTCGCTCCATAGTAAAAGATCCTTTTTTGACTATTATGGAAGTGGAATATCATGTCTGCAGTACTATCGACTTACAATTACCTGTCATGCGTTATGCCTTAATATATGTATGTGTTATTCGCTAAACAAAAAGAAACACTGAAAAACAATGTTAAAAATCGTATATATCGGATATTCGTCGACTGCTCAAGCATCCTAAGTGCTCGAATTAGCTGCAGTCCTTTGTTTGATACTGATTTGCGCTCGTTATATATCGTTATAACAACTAATAAACGACTTTTTTGAGTTTCGTGAGCTTTTTTTGGTCAGTTTTTTTTTTGATGTCGTACAGTCACGTGGACCTCTAACTGTAACAAAATATTTTATGCAGGGCCAACTCGGGCTGAGCAAAAAAAGAAACTAACAACTGATATAAAATAGAGAGATTACATCCGTCGTATAATGCGCACGACTTCTTATTCCTGTCATAAATTACAGGGCAAAACTCAGCTAGATAGATGGCCCTGTATGTCACCTACAGCGTACG